TGAGTATATATTGATACATATATACGTGTGTATGCATGTATATGTTTATAATATATATACATATATATGTGTGTGCAGATATATTTGATTTAAATATATACATATATATGTTATATGTTATATGTTAAGTCTGTTTGCATGCATGTATGTGTGTATGAACAAGCCACTGAACAAGCCACTGGTCGCAGAATACATTTGTCTCCAGGCAACTGCGTGGAGCATGTTAGACATTGTAATTTCAACAACACCGCAGGAAGTGCCTTGAGGCCAGAACTCCAAGAGAGTCATGACCGAGATGACAAGCAAGGAGGATCTTCAGTTATAAAGATACATTTTTTTATTTGTTTCCATTGATAAAGTGAAAGAATTAAGTTAAATAATTTACACATACAAGGTTAAATAATTTACACACACACACACTCGTATGTGTGTGTGTGTGTTCATATATGTAAATATGTATGTATATATATATATATATATATATATATATATATATATATATATATATATATATATATACATATATATATATATATATGTATATATATGATATATAATATATATATGATATATATATAATATATATAGTATATATATATAATATATATATATATATATATATATATATATATATATATATATATATATATATATATATATATATATATATATATATATATATATATATATATGTACAGTCACTCGTACGCACGTATAGCTTCCCACTCCCAATAACCAAATTATCATCAATCTCCGGCAGCCAGTTGCATATTTCTGTCGGAAATTCTGGTTCTTATTAACAGACATTTCCTGCACTCTAATGAATTAAGCCTAAAATCAGTGGCATGTAAATACACCAAAATCACCCTTTCTTCTTGCTAAATTTTGGCCACAATAACGAACATCCTCCCTCGTTAAAGTTCCCACGGCGTCTAAGCGAGGAGCGTGGACGAACTTTCGGACACGCCAACTTCCGTCAATAAATGATAGGCCTGCGCAAGAACAGCCACTGAGGTAAGTTCTCGTGACAAAGAATTCCCAGCAATGTCAAGCTCGGGGCGTAAAAATGAGCGTGTGTTCGTATTCGGCGCGCCACCTCACCCGAAAAGAGGCTTCGGTTGATCGTTGTTCGGCTGTTTCGGTGGCCGGATGTTGCCTCCCAAGATATAAACTTTCGCGCCAACCGGAAGTCTCGGCTGCTGTCCGTCGAGAGGGAAAAATCCGTTTCTGGGCCGTTGGCGAAGGAGAAGACGAAGATCACAATATATTTAGACTGTCAATAGCTTACCGTTAGCATGCGCTGCGAGGCGGCGGGAAATGTGCTTGTCATATATTGAAAAATACAGTGTGTGTGTGTGTCTGTATCTTTGTGTGTCTGTACATATATAGCTAGACAGATAGATACATAGATAGATATAGACTGACAGATATAGATAGTTAGATAGACACAGATAGATATAGCTAAATTGATATAGATGAGTATATATATATATATATATATATATATATATATATATATATATATATATATATATATATATGTATGTATATATATATATATATATATATATATATATATATATATATATATATATATATATATATATATATATATTTGTATGTATGTATGTATCTATATGTGTATGTGTGTGTGTGTGTGTGTATGTGTATATATATATATATATATATATATATATATATATATATATATATATATATATATATATATATATATATGCAGATAGATAAATAGAAAGAGTAATTGGCAGAACAGACAGACTAACAGACAGACACAGACAGACAGCGATTATGAAGAGAGGGGTGAAAGACATGTGCATGCGTGTGCTTAAAAAACATAGACCTACAGCCTTGTCTTGCGGCAACAGCAGCCCACCTCCGAAAATGCCTCCGAATGCAAAATCTTTCGCACCATTATAAAAGTCCCGCTCGGGTGATGGGAATGCAAATCCCTCGTGATGACAGCCCGCGCGGACGAGGCGTGAGGAAGGAGCGTCTTGATAGCAACCCTACGATCACTTTCCCGCGCCTGTTCCGGTGGGTGAAGCCTCCCGGTGGGTGCTTCCGCCAAGATGCGCCGTCAGTTCCTCCTTGCGTTGCACCCCAGCCTCACCTGCCTGTCTGAGCGGAGGCAACCGCCGGCCGACTCACGTGCCCAACTAACACGGACGTCCGCTGTTCTTTGTCTCGAAGGCGTCCTTCTCTTCCGTGGTTTACATATTTTAATTTCTGAATCGTAATTTTAATAATGTGACCATTTCTTTGATAATAGCAGTGCGTCATCTACAATCGCCCCCCTAAAATACCTTTTATGTGGAACAAAAGCCGCTGCCTCGACTGGGATGGAGTAAACAGAGTTGAGGATTTCACATGAAAAAGTGTAACGTGTGAGTGAGCGCAGGTTGAGATTATATTGAACGATACACGTACTTGTTATCACGTTTCTATTAGTTGTGAAAAAAGAGAGAATAAAAATAAAAGGAAAGAATATACAAAAAAAAACAATATAGAGAAAAGAAAGTAAGGGGGAGATGTGACATCATTAATTATGTATATGAAGCACTGTTGAGAACACCAAAAACAAGCAACTCCCCCTGGAAAAGAAGAAAAGAGTAAAGAATCGAAAAATAAAAATGTTTGACTAGTGCCCCGAGGTCACCAAGAAACCCCTCGGGCGGCCACTCATCAAGTAACGGTAAGGCGAGTTGCGTGTGCTTCCTTCCCGCGAAAGGCGTGAGAGGTCAAGACTGATGATACGTAACTGCTAGGTATTACTAGCCTTGTGCTCTGTTAAAGTAAATGTCTTTTGGTGTGATTTTTAACTTACTGAGTACGAAGAATGTGATAGACAATTCTTTAATTTCTTGCAAAATCTGAACATAACATGTATGCAATAGTGGTCCATCAAGCTGTAATTCTGGCCGTCGTCGTGAGCGCGGGCGTGGTGGGCGGGGCCCCTACTGGCGTCACGCCTACCGCTGAATCTCCACCCACCGCGCCCGCTTCCCGAGGCTCCAGCAGCGGTTCATATGATCTGCTGGAAGCTCCCGGCACAGAGCGTGGAGTGGGCCATGACCGTGAAAACTTGTGTACAAGCAGTGATTGTGCCGACGTCACCAAGAGCGGTAATCTCGCCAGACAACAGCAGCGATTTCAGCGTCGCCGCCAGGTGAGTCACTTGTATCCAACAAAAGAAAAGAAAGATGATTCAGAAGTCCCGTCACGGTCTCGGGCTGCAAGGGACGCAGACACGCGAGTGACGGATTGGTTGTTGGGGCAGAGTATGAGTCAGGCCTTCAGTGAGGGCGCGCCTGCTGGTTTATCGACGTGGAGTTGGTTGAACGGCGCCAGAGAAGCCACACTGGCACCGACGGAGGAATCCAAGAAGGACGCAAGAGATGGCTTTTTGCAGAATAGCGCGGCGTCCTCTTTGCTACATAGTGGAATTACTGATTATGGCACGGCGCAGACTGGGGGCATGACTGGCTCTTGGTCTCTGCCAATTCGTTTTAGTCAAAGTGGGACGAAAAAAATCAGTAATCCCCTGACCTCCTCTCCGTCGCTTCCCCCAGTGCCAGACAGGACGACGAGAGAAACAGAGCCTCACGCAGGTCATCAGTGGTTGACAACACAAACCGTTAGCGACGCCCCCATCACTGTGACTGACGAACCAGATAGCATCCCGTCGCACCCCGAGGAGCGCCCTCCTGGCCCGCAATCACCTCATGCCACGAAACCGCTCGCAGCCACTCATCTGAACACACATACAAACACACCACTACTCATCACTTCACCTCTAACGAACACACCCCGATTCACCAGTTATCCACGGCCACATCCCACTTCCTCCAAGCACACACATACAACACATCCACTCACAACACAGCAAGCAAACTCTCATATAACACAACCCACCAGCACGTCACAACAACACTCATTTCATAAGAGCCGTGAGCCACCGGTAAACCAAAACCATGACACAGTCCTACAGGATAGTAGCACGCCACCAGACCCATCAACGGTAGAATGGCTAACTTTCTTACTCTCTGATCAACATGTCAATTCAGATCATGCGCCGACTACACAGTCAGTTACAACAGCAGGCCCGGAAAAACCTCATGTCATGAATACCAGTCTAGGTGCAACAGAGGAGGTAAAAGAAGTTCCTGTTTTGGCTTTAGAATCTAGCCATACCTTGACCTCTGTGATGGACCCAGGTCATGACGCATCGGCAGGCTTGAATCATGGAAACCTCACAGTTCAGGAATTTCCAAGACAACCCGCTGTGCCTGTCAGAAAACAATCATTCTTAGTCTCAGTAACTGATCAACCAGTACTAACCATTGAATCATCAATAACTACGGATCAAGCGTATAGTGCATCTGAACATTCACATAAATATCCTGAAAACCCTTTTGTAATCACCGTTCAACCAAAAGTATCAGAACAAACGCCTGAAAACAATGAACATCCTCACAATTTTTTCGACTTGTCTGGAAGGCCTGAATCACCACCTGAAGATGCCAATGAATCTATATATAGAGTAGCTGATATAGCTGAAAGTAATGAAAAGTTACATTTTAATACACATGAAATGTTTATGCATTCTGAAACAACACCTGACTCTGAAGTAACAATGAGCGACCGCGAACAAAGAGTCAATGCAACCGAACAGCCACCCACAAGCCCTGAACATATACAGACAGACCCTGTCAACCATTTTACAGGTATTGACAATGCAAACACTCCAAGATATAAACTTTCGACTATAAATAACCAGAAATTGAACTATGAAGGACAGTCATTTGTACCTGCTGGGGAATCCTCCTTTGGTAACCTTCATTATATGCATAAGCTTCCTCACCAATCATACACTGATCCAGAATACGAAGGATCATCTTCAGATCTAACCCAAATACGTGAAATTCTTGGGCAGTTACTTGAAGTTCCTGAGCAGCCTGTTGTAGGAATAGGGAAATATCCTCCTAGAGGGACTACAACAGCTCCAGTACAGTCATCTACAGATCATGGCCGTCTGGTTACGTTTACCACAAATATTTTAAAGCAAACAGAGACAAGCAATGATGTCTGGCAGACGGGATACCAGACAACAGAAAATTCGCCTTGGACTGCACTTCTACCCACGAGCAGCTCACCCAAAAATAATCTTCTGTCAGAAATACTCAGTCAGACTTTAACATTTCTATCCAAAACAGACCCTTTTCCAAACACCAATAACACTCACGAAAGACTGCCAAACAAAACCAATTCAGGAAAGGTTCCTGCTCAACCAGCAGAGAGTTTAATACCCCAGGATACCTCAACTATTCTGCCTTTAAAGAACCAGACACCTAATTACAACAGTGGTGAAATGCAAGGCACACCAGTGCTAAGTGCGCCACCTGACACGATCAGCCTTTTGTCAGCCTTAACCACCACTGCCCCTATAAAAGTTACTACTGCTGCAGAACAGAGTATATCATGTGAAGATGTTGGTAAGCTTTCCCCTCTCTTGGATTTCTACGGCTCAGTTTATCCTGGTTTGACAAATCCTTGTAAATCAGTAAGAACTGATAAAGAGAGTGAAGGCATTGTTAAAGATTCTGATCTATATTCTACACACGAACAAAAGGAGAAGCTAGTGAGTAGTGAAAACATAGCCCAAGTCCCTTCAGATTTTTCTCCTGTTATCATATCAGATATTCCAATAAGTTACTCTACATATAGGATACCTGACCCCGATATTGTATCAAACAGCTATTCCGCTGGAAGTTCTCACGTGTCTCCCAGCTATATCTCCAATGATCAACCCAATGATCACAGAGCACAGAGCACCAGTGACTCTACTCAGCCACCCACTGGCATGATACCTTCACCGACAAATGCCACGCCCACCATAGATTCATCCACGATTATTCCATACTCAGTTCATTTCCCAAAGAGGAACGTTTCATGGCACTTAAGCACCCAACCCAACAACAAAAGTACGGCAAAATATGAGCCCTCACCTACTCTCTCTCCGCCACCCATGTATGAGGATACACACAATGCTTCGTCCATCAGTGAGGACAGCCATTCATCCTCTCCTACGCTGCCGTCATTCACGTCCGACGAGATCCCTCAGCCAGAAGCTTTCCTTACCTTTGAGGATTTTGAGGACAAGCCAACAGCGACCTTGGTGGCAGGGGATGGGAGTTCAATCGTCGTCAGCTCCATGAGTCTGAACGTTGGACATGCCCTGCCTGAGCCTTATAAGGGGGGAGAGAACACAAAGTGGGTAAAGATTTCAGTAGAACCGTCAGTGGACTTGGCTCCTACACCTTCTTCAGCAAGCACAAGCAAAGAACTCCCATCCACAAGCACACTGCCACCAACGTCGACAGAGAAGGAAGGCAACTCTTCCTTTTCGATAACCTCCATCTGGGGATCTTGGTATAAACGATGGGCCTCCTCTAGGTCAAAAGTCACGTCTGGAGGCACTACTTCAGACACCGGGATCACTGCAACAACGACAGAAAACCAGATTGTTGTCTCACCATATACAACAATGCCATCCCCATCAACTACTCCTACAACCACTCCAGCATTACCAAACCACACGATATCCTTATTGTTGGATAGTCTTGTAACACATCCTTCTACAACAGATCCTGCAGCATCGTACCTTTTATCAGAGAGCCAAACAACGAAAATCCCCTCGATGATCTCTCAGGCAGTTCCTATTCCCATGGTACTCCCCACAACACCGCCAACAAGTACATTCCATGCAACCTCCCAAACAACACCACTTTCAGCAAAACCAGCTGCATCACCAGCGATGAGTTTTACGTCACCATTCCCGTTATTAACAAATAATAAGTCACCGGCGAGGAATCTTACCATATCATCACTTCAAACAGAGTCTTCATTGAATAAATCCGGACCAGCTGATTTGACAGTGGAAGAGGATTCAGTTACACCTCTTACAACACTTGTGTCGACAGCAGATCCTACAAAGGACTCTGATAACAACTTGCTTGTACTAAGAGATGAGTCCCCACATACTCAGCCCATAACAGAGGGTCATACAACGCCAATTTCTGTAGAATATGAAACTGAATCACCCGTAAATGAACCTACCGAGACGATAGTACCAACGCATGATCAAGTATCGAATTCGACCAGCCAAAATTCAACCAAGAAAGAACTGACCTCAACGTCCTCGCCATTGACTCGCGTCCTGGGTTCTCTCTGGGACTTGTTTCGGCCTCAGAAACCCAAATTAACAGTACAGACTGATTCTGTGGCCTCAGACGATCACAAAAACGAGAGTCATTCTGGAAATAATATTATGGGTAACATTAAACAATCAGTTACAACAACAAAGTTACCCATATACACAATATCTAATCTTACATCTGTTGTTCCGTCTGCAGTAACTAAGAGTATGCCATCGAACGTAACAGCAATAACTCAAAATACAGATAATTCGACTGTACTGATGTCGCATACAAATCATGAAGAGAAACACCGCTTCCTACAGATGTTTAGTACACGTAAAGAACCCCAAGTTACATTCATCAATCCCTCAGAGGGCAATGTTGAACGTGTGAGACCCTCTCCGACGAAATCTCCCCTTGCAGCATATCTTCCTTCTTCAATTGAATCTTTAGAAAACCTGTTTAATCTCCTCGGTAAATTCGGTAACAAGCATAGCATATTTGGAGGTCATGAGAAAAGAAAAAATGAGCAAGTTGAGGACACTGTCCCGGGAAACCATTGGCCACTCGTCTTAAGGCAGCGGCCTTCACAACCTCCTCATTTCCCTCAACTCGTAGCACCACCGGTTACCGTCACCTACCGCCCGCCATCCGCTCACCACAGGCCTGGTGCAGGAATATCCACACAAAGACCCGCCATCATTCTGAAGAAACAAGGATCGAGGGTACATATCCCCCTGATACCCTCAGCGGATTTCAGCTCGTTTCAGCCTCATAGTTCCATTCGCTCTAAGATCACGAGCAATTTATTCGACCCTCGTCCTGAGACAACAGTGAACCCTGCCTTTCCTCCTCGCGCCACGGGCACACTTCCTCTAAACATCATTCGCTCCAGAGCAGGCGAAATCGAGTACGACCGGACGAATGATGTCAGAAACGTCAAAGCTGAAGTCGACGAGAGTCAGCATCACCGCCCTCCCTTCCCCGCTGAACCCAAGACGTCGGAAACCCATCAGCGGAGGAGGTGCGGGAGTCGCCTGCTGGACCGCCTCGACTACCTGCTCGGAAGGGAACTCGTCATGGACCAGTTCGGCGTGAGAGTGTATAGCTCCGTCGTCGAAAGGTGGGCTTTGACCTTAGGACAAACTTGCTAACTAAAACTCCGCCTAATCAGTCAAAATAGCTGCACAAACATGACAGAAGCCTGCATATGAGACGTCCAAAAACAGCATAATGACTAAGACGGACAGCTTCAGGAAGAAGTACGTGACATGACGGTACAGATAAACGTTTGGAAAAAAATAGGACTTGATGGACTTGATGGACAATACTACTGAAAAGCACCAACTCGTAGAACGTAGTGTAATTCACCTACTATCGCTCTGTCTTTCTTTATATAAGCAAACAAACGTGTATGTATGTGTGTGTGTGTGTCTGTGCTTGTCTGTGCCTGTGCCTTTGTCTGTGTCTGTGTGTATATATTTATCTATTATCCTACCTGTCGATGCACACTCTAATCAACTGTGATATTTGCAGACTTGTTTACATAAACATCTGAGCTATTTCACCATGCACAATTTCCCCTTTCAAGCATACACAAATAAAGAAACGTATATCTCATATATACACCTTTCCCTTTGAAATACTGCTCATCCTGTCTATCCTTTTCCCCGACAGCATACTTACGGCCGAGTGCAGCGCCCAAGAGGAAACTCCTGAAGGATCGAACAGAGGGCCTTTGCCGCTCCCTCCGTCGCCCCCGCCGGCCTTGTCTCCGAAGCCTCAACCCCTCGCTCCCCCTTCCGAGTACAAACCTGCAGCCACGTTCGGGATGGAGGGATGGATGACGATGGATGACCTGAGGGCTAAGGTGAGCGAGGGGTTCAGTGCGTGCTTTTGTTGTTATCATTGTTATCATTATGTTTTGTAATTACTTATATATTATGTTCGTCGTCGTAATGATTGCTATATTATTTTTCACGATTATTCAACCTGTAATGCTGTCTTATTGCCTCTTTTCCTTTTTTGCCGTACTCGTATATACAAATGCTACAGATGTGCCGTGCTTTGATTCCCTGAACAGGCAGAAGAGGATCGCCTCAAGAAGCATAAAGAGAACATCCCTGAGGACACCACGCAGCGCAGCTTGGACACAGAAACAAGCGCGAGTTACGCACACCTCCTCAGGAATCACCGTCTGACGGGCCCCTTCATGCCCACCGCCGCCGCCCTCTCTGCTACGCCCAAGCACCCTTCGACCTCTTCCCCTACGCCCTCTCCCCCGATTCCTCTTCCCACGACGACTTCCCCTGCCTCGACGACCTTCCCTGCCCCGACGAATCCCCCTTCTTCGACGAACTCCCCTGCCACGACGACCTCTCTTGCAAATGACACTTCTACTGGTTCCTCTGTTTTGGACGTCCCTGCCATGGATTCCTCTTCCTCCTTCCTTCCATCCTCTACATCGAATTCCTCCTTCCTCCTCTCCTTCGCGACCCAAGACGACCCAGATGTCCCTCCTTCGGCCTCGGCTCCGCGTGCGATGTCAGATACTTCAGAAGTCTTGGAATCCTTAGGCTTCCCCTTTTCCTCTTCGACCTCCTCCCCAGCCGCGTCTCTTGCGCCGCCTTTCCTGTCCATCTTCTCTTCGTTCTCCTCTTCCTTCGCTAATGCTTCCACCTTGACTACTCCGTCCACACATCGACCCGGTCCATCCACGCTTCCAAGCCCGTCTACATCTACAGTGTCCGATCTACTGTCTACCCCGCCTGCATACTCCACTC